AGTGTGGGCAGGGGGAGCCGCAGCCGGCAGCAGTGGCCGGTCCCTGGATGGGATCCCACCCTGCTCTGACCCCACTGTGTCCCCACTCATGTGGATGCCAGCGCCCTGCCATGCCGAAAAGCAGCCGCAGGAGTTCAGGGCTCAGCTGTAACGGGCACGAAGGTTTATGTGCCTCCGAGCTGTCGGGGCCAGGCTGGGGACAGGAGGCCGCAGGGACCACTGTTCCCCCCAGCCCCACTTTCTCTCGGAGGCGGAGGGACGCTTCCATCATCCAGCTTCACCCCACAGCAGATCGTCCAGCCTCTCCCCCCAGTCCAGGTGGGGATGAGGCTGGCCGGTCCCGAGAAGGTGGACGGGTGCAGGTCGGAGGGACTGCTCCCGCTCTCACCCAGCCCCGTGCCTGCCCTGCGCCTGCTGCTCTGGAGCAGAAGCCCAGCGAGGATAAACTTTCCTCCACTGCCGGAGCGTGAGCCGGCTGCCAGGAGCCGGGAATCACCCTATTTGGCATAGTCAGCAGGTCCTGTCGGGCTGCCATCTCCCAGCTCACGGCAGAGGAATCTGCAGGAAGCCAGAGCGGTGTCGCAGCAGGATCCTTGGGGCACACCACCCTGGCAAGCCTCTGTGCCGTGCAGTGGGAGGGCAGCATGCGGTGCACAGGGCTGTGGGTGGCATGGGGCTGTGCATGGTGCTTTGCACGGTGCCGTGTGTGGCACAGTGCTGTGCTGTGCTGTGCATGATGCTCTGCACACTGTGGTGCAGCTCCGCAGGATCAGTCCCCCCCGGGTATTTCGCTGGCACAGCAAAGCGCAGCCCCACAGAGCAAATTACAAGCAGAGCAGGGCCGAAATGTCTCAAATTGCAGGTTACTTTGGGCTGGCTGTGCTGCGGAGCCGAGCCCTGTGGGTCCCCACGTTCCAGCTGCCCCAAATTACAAAGCGGGGCCCAGGCGGCACAGCCCTGCCCAGCGCCGAGGGGCTGAGCCCTCCCCAGCCGCAGGCAAAAACGGCATCGTAATGGCTGGTGTGTGCTGGCACCGGGAGGCTGCCCGTCCCCACGCCACCGCCGCCCCGGGAAGAGCCCTGGGCAGGGACGGGGATCCTGGATGGGGTGGTGGGGACCACAACTGGGGAAGGGTGGGGACCCTGGACAAGGAGGGATGGGGACCCTGGCCAGGGTGGGACGGGGACCCTGGACAAGGAGGCTCAGCCCAACGCCAGCTTCGCTGGGCACGGGGGGAGGGGAATTGCAGCCCCATCCCCATCTGGGCTGCAGGAGCTAGTCCAGATGCCGCTGCCCTCCTCCAGGCCAGCTCAGCTCAGCAGCACGGCCGCCCTCGCACCCCTCGGCCTCCCCTCGCCTGTCCCCCTTCCCCTCTAAGATTTCAGTGCTGATCACTTAAGGCTGGGAAAAGCCGCTCTAGCAGCTGTGCGGAGCCGCCGGCTGCAGACAGACGGACGGACCCGTTATTTCTGGGAGCCACGATTACGTTCGGCGACGCCGGGAGAAACCCAAACGGCGCCAGTTCCCCTCCGGCTTCCCAGTGCCAGCGGTGATGGGAACAGGCACCCCCACCCCCAGCCCCATGGTGGTCGCAGTCCCCAGGCACCAGCGATGGCTTTTTTTGGGGGATCTGGCCGGGTCCCCGGGGAGGCGTGCGGAGGCGAATAGCAAGAGGATGAGGTCCCCCGCCGGCGGCTGCAGCCTCTTGAGCAACTTCAGCTGAGGCGGAGGGGACCGCGGCAGGGGGGGGGAGCAGAGCGCTGTCGGGAGCGCG